TGATGGCACCCTATATCAAGGCAAATGTGGTCCAGGCGGATTCCTGTCAGAACCATATAACCTCTCTGTGAAGCTTAACACAGATGGTGTGGCTATATTTCGTTCTTCACAGTTTGGAGTTTGGCCTCTGTTTCTTCTTGTCAATGAGCTTCCTCCATCGTTAAGGTAAACAATTAAAGAAATAATTCTTTACAAATCATGTGTTTTAGCCAATATAAGAGTACATTGTATTAATGAATTGCTGGGAAGAGTTTGTTAAGGGGTCATATGCCATCATGTTTCCTTAATATAATCAGATTTTCTTTCACCACCATTTTGAATAATAAGACCCTTGGCTGCTGGGAGACAGTTGATTTTTTACAAGATCTTATATGATAGACCTGGTAACCTTATCTCTTATTCTCATGTTTACAGGAGAAATAACAAGTACAGAGTATTTGGTGGCCTGTGGTTCGGGGAAGAAAAACCTTTCTTTTCAACTTTTTTAAAGCCATTTGTTGACACTTTGCGAGAAACAGAAATGCACGGTAAGGAACAGTTCATTATTTATGGGGATGACCGGGTCGGGAAATAATATAATGCTTTTTGTTTCTATTTTAAAGCCCATCCTAAAACCATGTCGGAATTCCAAAGCCCGTCTAGATGCATCATTAACTTTTCGAAGCCTGTTCAATGGAAATAATGAACTTGACAAAAAATTTTAAATTATTTTGATCCTCTGTTTTGAAATAACAGGAATTGAAGTCACGCTTCCAGATGGAGTGAAGAAGAAATCAAAGGTCATGGCTCTTTCTGGTCATTTTGATCTTCCTGCCCGTGGTGGTGTCCTTGAGCAGGTCATATATGTTGGCCATGACAGCTGTAGCTATTGTGATGAGCATGGTGAGACCGTCAAGACTGGCACAAGGGGTCATGTGATGACATTTCCATTTCGCAACACTGCATCAGGACATGTGAAACTGCGAGTTGCAGAAGAAGTAAAGGCCTACTCACATGATGCCCTTGAGAGGAATACAACAGTGAGTTCCTTTTTTTTGTGATAGACTGTAAATTAAGTTGGCCAGTCATCACTGATTTTTTAATAAGCAGCCAATATGAAGCATTGCCACAGGTTCTGAAGTCATTGGTCCCAACATTCTGTCAAGGAAACACTTATTCCAGACATAGCATGTAAAATGTTCAATGTCTACAGTACAGACTGTACAGCTAGATATTGATGTTTTGTCACTACGTTATTTTGTGATGATATTAAATAAAGTCTCATAAGAATTCTGGGCTACACATGTCTGAGCAAGAGATACGGGGTCAAGGACTCAAGGTTGATGTTTCAAACATCCAGTTGTAAAGACTATTACATTTTGCTCCCCATTATTTTTCTGATAGACTATCGAGTCTCCTGTTTTTCAAGTTAGCATTTTGTTTCTAAATGCCTTATTGGGGAAACTCCTGAACTTCACATTTCTTTTACAGGTTTGTGGTATCAAGGCACCAAGCCCCTTATTGAAGTTACCAAGCTTTGACATTGTCAGTGGCATTGCTATAGATGCAATGCATTGTGTGTATCTTGGAGTTGTAAAGCAGCTTGTTGGTCTGTGGTTCACTTCAAAGCACAGTGGGCAGAGGTGGTACTGTGGGAACAAAGTAGAGAGGGTTGACAAACGCCTACTGGAGATCAAGCCTCCTCGTGTGATTACCAGAATCCCAAGAAGTATACAACATCATCTGAAATTTTGGAAAGGTAAACTATCCCGACAACAATATATCAACATAACAGATTCAGTCTACTCTTTGCTAAGGATATTTTTAAATTTTTAGACATTTTTTACCACCCGTTTGAGCCATTTGCAAGAAGCGCTATTAAATCTTTAGGTATTGAGTCAATGTTTTACCCACTATTTGTCTTAATCATCAATGTTTGTTCAATTGCAGCAACAGAGTACCGCAACTGGCTGTTTTATTACTTCCTTCCCTGTTTGAAAGGTATCCTAAATGAGGATTATTACCAGCACTATGCCTTGCTGGTTGGCAGCATCATCCTATTGTCAGGAAGATCAATTTCCCCTGGACAACTAGAAATGGCTGGAAAGTTCCTGATGCACTTTGTTGAGATGTTTGATGTGTATTATGGTAAGTAATGTGATATATCAGGGAGGGGTTTTGAGTTGCCTTTTAATAGTTGATAGCATACATGTACTTGCTTGCTTTATTTTCCAAAGTAAAAATGTGTTTTACAATGGTAAAGAGCACATGAAATCTTTAATTTCGTTTGATTTTTTTTTTTTCAAATTTAGAAAAAAAAAACCATGATATTTACCTAAGACCAAGCGATATTAGTCTTTCTTGTCTCCCAATATGGAGACCACACCAAAAGAGAACGAAACTTGTCTTGTCACTGATGAGAGTAGGAAGTTATTGTATTAGGAGAAAAGTGCCTGATGAAATAATTATTGTAATGGCCACTAAACTCTGCCATTAACCAAGGTTTAGCATTAACAGTGTCATAACTCACTGTAGAAAAAAAAAAACACTGATTGCAGAACCAAGATATGTGCTGATGAATCACCACATGCTGCTTCACTTGAAGAAATCAGTATTAGATCATGGTCCCCTTTGGAGTAGTTCCCTGTTCGTTTTTGAGGATTGGAATGGACATTGGAAATTATTTCCATGGAACACAGAATATTGCAAGCCAGGTAAGTCTACGTGTATGTTGAAACCTGTTATGATAAACCAAAAATCAATGTTTTGAGAAACCTCCTGGGCACAGAATAATTATTGAAAGTATAATTTCAAGTTTTATTGTCTTGAGCAACTGCTTTGTGGTATGCAGTGAAGACTGTCTGATGTATTAGACCATGCAAAGGATTAGAAATTTTATTGGAATTGGACGATGATGTTGGACACACACGAATGTCATTTGTCTTGCTCTAAATGGCCCTTCACTTCCAAGCAAATCTAATTTCTTCTTTGTGTTTGTTGTTAACTTGAAGATAATGACTGCTGTGACAAGTCAACAGTGCCTCCCAGAGATGATCAAAGACATTCCTCCAGGACATGCGAAAGATATGGTATTCCGGCTATGTGGTCATACAGACAGGTCAGTGCACGTATAACTTATTTACTTCGTTTATTTCCTATACACGTACATTGTTTTTCAAGATTGCTAAGTGGAAAAATGTATTTTTGTTACGACTTGTGAGGGTCATAAGTTTATAATATTGCTATTTTCCTGTCTTTTAGGACCAACCGAACCCATCGGAAAAATCAGTTCTATGCAATTGGTGCATTAAAGAAAGGCACACCTGGTGCACCATTTGAAGACGACCTTCTGCTGTTTCTTGGGGTGGAGTCGATTGAATGTGTCTCCTTTTTTAAGCGACTGCAAATTGGTGATGCAGTTTTGCATTCGCAAATGTATAAGAGAGTGTCAAGGAGAAACAGCTTCACTGTTGCCTATTCAAAAGGGGAAGGAACAAGCTATGGGCAAATTGAAGTTTTCTTTGTGCTCAAAGAAGATCCCAGGATGACCTGTGGGGCCATCATTGCTCCCATGTCCGAGGCTGATGAGGTGATCTGTGAACGTCATGCAGTTCTGGGGAGCCTGGTCGAACACATTGTTCCTCTTCGGCAAGCAAGAAGGAACATATTTGACATTGTCCCTTTTAAAGACATCATTGATGTATGTCTATATATGAAGTTTTCTGATAATGAGGTGGGATATGCTGCCCATTTCCCCAACCATTTTGAAAAGGACTGAACATTATTTAACAAATAGTTTTAATATGGCAATCCTAAGGTCCTGAAGTTTATTGCATTATATTATTTTTACTCAAGATATATCCAGACAGTGTCATTTTACGTTTCCCAAGTGTAAACTGCAAGACTAGATAATTATTTCAAAATGCTTGATGCTATCAAGCAGTCTACCTGTGTATCCTTCTCATGAGTTAGAAGCAGTGCGAAAGAGGGCAATGTTTCAATGTTTTTCATATGAAGAAGTGCTTGTTAAGGCAAGTCTTGTCACCTTGTCTGGTCGAAGGCGTTGGGGTTACAACCTCAGAAAGTCACGCCAGTTTAATCTATTTTTTTAAGACATAGAGATTTCAAAATAGTTTTCTTATTTCTAGCGCACTTACAGCTCAAAAGATTACAGATTCCAGTTTGGAACATACAGTAATATTCTAACAATTTAAATACATTGAGTGAAAATGTTATTGCATTTTAAGAATTAAGTATTTTAAGAATTTATCGCTTTAGGGATTTTTTACCTATGTAAATATGACGTACCAGTAATTCAACTCTTGGGTTGGAAAGCTATATAAATAAACTATCTATCTACCTATCAAAGCAATTCTTGTAAGGAAAATCTTTTATGGTAAGAAACTTATCCTATAATGTCTTCATAGTATGCAGACATCTTGTTTTACTCATTGTCATAATGAGCATCATAGGAATATTTTTATGCCCATAGACGTCCCATAGAACTATTACATGGGAAATCTATGGGCAACAAGAACACTAAGAGTTAAATTACAAAGATCCCATACAGTTCCCATAGAATTACGATGATGGGAAATCTATGGGACATATTTGACATCTTTGTCAGCTGGTATGGGTAATCTATGGAATAATACGGTGTGCATATTCCATACAATAACCATAGATAAGGAAGATTGAGGAAATGTCTCATTGCTATGGGATATGTATGGGGAATGTATTCCCATAGCTCGTCCATACAACGGGAAGCATCAGGTTTTCTTCCCATATACTTCCCATAGCTTAAAATGTGTCAAAATATATGCCCATAGCAGTTCCACATCATCATCCAACCTTCCCATACCATTCCCACATATGGGTCAGATATGGCCCAAACTTTCACATATCATTACCATACTTTTGCTTTGGTAAGGGTTGTACATGCCTTGGATGTTTTGGACTTGATTAAAGATCTCAGAAGAAGGAAAATTGGTTTCAAGAGTGTCAAGGAAAGAGCGGCATGT